AGGGTCACCAGAACAAACCCTTTTTCGATGCAAAATTGAAACAGCCTTCCCTTACAATCTTCTGTCAAGTTATATTGTGATGTTTTGATAATTGTAAATTTTTGATAAGTGTAATGTTCTGATGGCACCGCTGTTTCGTTGTTGTATTCCAACTTTCTAAGCGGTGCCAGGTCCACCACATCTCTGTGTACTTGAGTGTGGAATGTGTACACACCCATCTGCTTTTCAGCACACCTGCACCTTATATTTTCTCTGTTCTCTTGGTGATACTCATTCATATGCATGTAGTAGTTTGCACGACGGAAGGGAGGAGGGGAAGGGAGGAAGAGGACGAGGGTGGAACAAGGAGGAGGAGAGAGGAGGGAGGAGAAGGACAGCAGGAAGAGGAACCTCATAGGGTTCTTGATACTTGCCAGCAGAGCAGACTGCTAGAGAAGCACAAGAGACAGTCCGGGGTTGGGCTGCAGAGAAAAGAAGTTGAGGAGCAGGCGTTGCCTATGGTAAGTGGCTACCCCTGGAAACTGGACAGGACTGGTTCAAGTGCGGACTGTGGAAGCACCATATCCAATTCTCGCAGTTGCAGTTGCTGCGTCGAATGGTGTGGTGTAGACAGATGTCACAGGCAATGTGGCTCCCTCATGCTAGGAACGCAGAGACATGACGACCACAATTTTTTCTATAAGCACTGCTGTTCCAGCCCCAGTCTAGAAATAGGACATGCCATGTCAGGGTGTCGTAGATGAGGACAATGTTGACTGTCGTCGTAGGTATGAAAACAAAAACTTGTGGGGGTTATGCCCTCATGATCCTCATGACACAAAGAAAGCCGATCATATGCTAGCCGAACAGCAGGTGGTACATCACAGTGTGAGTGGTGGAGAGAGGGGGGCGGGTGAGGAATTAGTGCCTAGTACTCGCTATCTTTGAGAAATGTATGGAATGTGACGACTTAAGCTTTAGAGCTCAGCACCCCAGTCTTGTGGCTGAATTGGGGACACAATCTGACACATGTGGGTGTTGATTGATACTTCTTTTGGTTCTTTTTTAAAAACCCCGTGCTGTGTGATAGAGGGGGTGATATGAGCATCCTCCTCTAGCAGCACCTGTCACGGGTAGGGAGCAGCACCTGCTGGAAACCGGGTCCAGCGTCCCTTAGACATCCATTGTGAACTTGTCTGAAACTGTCACCGGGACCATTACCCGGCTGCGGCTAGGTAGACCAAGGATAGTATACAAGGAACTTAGCAGCCAACAGAAATATGCAACGAGAGTTCTTCTGGCCGTGCAGATAGCGTGCCCTCGACAGCCTGTTCAGCCTAGTGGGATTGCTGCACCCACCTTGGTCCAGTCCTTGAAGCAGATACTGCACAAGCCGTTAGCAGGGACCCTCACTTTTCAGCCCCAGGTTAACCCCCCCAGCACTGAAAACTTGTGAAAAGTTGAAAACTTAAAAGTGCATTTGGTGATAATTTTTTTCAGTTTTTTTTTTTTTTTTTGCCGTGTTTTGTTTTTGGTAGGTCTGCATGCGCCAAGTTTGGTGTTTTTGTTGGGGTCTTGGAGATGACTGTTTTGGCCAGCCCTGAAAACTGGAAAGAGCGAATTTTGCATGCCAACACACTTTTGCCTCGGGGTTTAAACCACCAGTACACCATATATCAGCCCGTGGGTGTCAGCACAAAACCGCACTGCTTCGGAGGCCGCCGATTTTTTTTTTTCAACGGCGAACCTGGCCGCGTGGCGCCTCCGAGTTTTGCTTGTGGCGACAAAGACTTTCTGCAAGGCTGGGGCCATGTACCAGCGGTTTAAGGCCTCTTTGATCCTTTTTTTCACTTTTTTCTTTTGCTGTTGCTTTACTTGGTGTCCACTCTATGGACTCGTGACCAGCCTGGCTTAAAAGGTGTGGGACATTTGTTATAGTGACCCTGAAAAAACCCTGTAAATTTAGGCCTCTGTTAACCGCTTCTCACACAAGATACTGTAGTCCCTCTTGAACTCCTCTTGGCTGTGCTCTGCGTTGCAGCCTCCCTCCCATTGGATGATGTAGGCCATCCTGAGTACGAGTTCAGAACTTGGATACAATCATTTGAGGGGCAAGGCCCTTAAACCACAACTACCTTTCGCAGGCAAACGCGAAACACCAATATGCCACAAAGGGTGAACAGCGCTACCGGGTCAAAATGGCTGGCGGCGTCAACCAGAAACAAAACGACGACGTGACGCTGGCGCTCTGGCAAAGCTTGGCACGCAGTTCTTTTCCTCCTCGGCAAAACGATTCTCGGAGGTAGAGATGGTTTAAAGAACAAGAGAAAAAAGGGCTCTGAGCTTCTGGGCTTCGGGAGGTCTTATGGTTACATGGTGCATCCACTACGTGCTCTCACCTGTATTTCTTTTTCTTGCATTCTCTACGTTTCCTTGTTCTCTTTTGTCCTCCTTTTTCCTCTTTTTTTTTTGAAACAGCGATGGCCTTGAGATATGATCATCAAACTGAGTGGCCCTAGGTAATTCAGAATTGTAGTATTTTCACTCATCTGCCCCCAGTGGAGTTCGAACTCAGGTCTGTATTTCAACAGTTCAGGGGTGTACCAACTGAGCCAGGCCAGTTGGTACGTTCGCTACATTTCATTTGTCTGTATAAATACAAAATATTGGGATTGGAAGACGTGCAACAAATATTGCAGGCCTTTCCTCGTTCTTTTTTCCCCCCCTCAGCTGCAGGGTTGCATACCCCGTCGGTTGGCGGCCCTCGACTGGTCGGCTACCCACCAGCCAACCGGTTGGCTGGTCGGCACGTACCGGTCGGGGGTCATCGGCACCCCGAAAAATAAATAAATAAATAAATAAATAAATAAATAAATAAATAATAATAATAAAATAATAAAAATAATAATAATTTGGGTCCAGAACCTTTAATAACCCCACCAACATCCCCATACCCGCCCCCAATACCCCAATACCCCCATACACCCCTCCAACACCCCCCAACACCCCCAAACCACTCCCCAACACCC